ATTTTCAAATTTTATTATCTATAATTATTTTTTTAATATTTTTGTATTTTAAAAAAGTAAATTAGAGCTAAATGAATATAAAATGCAGGCAAATTTGCTTGTGTTAGTCTACAATCTAAAGGATAAGATATTAGTACTAGAAATAAAAAATTAAAAAAACAAATAAAAGAGTATATAAATAAAGGAGTAATCAAACTAAGTATTTTACTATGATACTTTTATGCTGTTTATAGCTAAAAAAAAAAAAAAATCCTAAGAATATATATTAATTATTATATACTAAATAATATAATAATAAAAAATCAATATTCTTTACTATATATCAATAAATTATTGAATCAAATATATAGTGCTAAATACTTTAGTAAAATAATTTCTATTCCAGATATCATCAAATATAGGTAAAAGAAAAAGATATATTCAAAATAGTATTTAAAACAAAATATGAGTATTATAAATTTTTAGTTATACTATTTAATCTAATAAATATCTTTATCTTATTTATGAAGCTAATAAATAATATTTTCTAAGAATAGCTAAATAAAAGTGTTATAGTATATTTAGATAATAGACTAATATATAGTAAGTTAAAAAAAAAAGTATCACAAGTATATAAAAGAAGTATTAGAAATTTAAAACAATATAAACTATATAGAAAGATGAAAAAATGTAAATTAGAAAAGAAAAAAGTAGAGTTCTTAGAATATATAATTTTATAAGAAGGAGTAAAAGTAAACTCCAAGAAAATTAGAACAATTTAAGATTAGCTCACACTTATTAATATTTATAATTTTTAATCTTTCTTAGATCTTATAAATTATTACCAAAAATTTATAAAAGATTTTACAAATACTGCAATTCTATTAACAAAACTATTAAAGAAAAATAAAAACTTTAAGTAGAAAGAAATACAAGAAACAGCTTTTAAAAAAATCAAAGAAATACTAATATCTGTTTTAACTTTATAAATTCCAAACTATAACAAGCTATTTATACTCACTACAGATACTTTAGATATCATAATTGGTGTAGTCTTATACAAAGACCAAGGTTTAGAAAAATAGTTAATAGCATATAAATTAAGAAAATTAACTCCTGCAGAACTAAATTACCTAATCTACAAAAAAGAACTTTTAGCAATTATCTATACTAAAGATTTAATATATATACTTGGAAGAAAATATTTTTTAAATAATAACTGATTACAAATCATTAAAATACTTACTAATATTAGCAAAATGTCTTGAAGATAAGTATAATAAGTCAAAACTCTTTAAGTATACAATTTTACTATCAAATACAAATCTAGAAAAGACAATATAGTAGCAGATACATTATCAAGAAAACTTAAAGCAAATATAATAACAGAAATTAGTATCAAAGAAGATATTTACAAAAGAATAAAAGAAAAATATAAAAAAGATATATATCTTAAAAGAATTTTAAAAGCATTAAAAGACTCTAAAAGTAAAGAAGCCAAAAGGTTAAAAAAGTAGATAAGTAAATTTGAACTAAAAGAAAATAAATTACTATTTTTTAAAGAAGGAGCAGAAGAACTAAGACTATATATAATAAAAGAATCTAAAGAATAAAGATCTTTGCAAAAAGAAAGCTATGATTTGAATAGGTATTTTAGATTTGAAAAGATCTATAAAGAATTAAGAAGAAGCATTATAGAAAAATATGAGCAAAGATATAAAGAAATATATAAAAAGCTATAATAGCTACTAAAGAAACAAAAGCTCTATACAAGCCTTAGCAGAATTATTACAATCTTTAGAAATTCTGTTACATTTAAAAAAATAATGATAATAGATTTTATAATACATCTACTACAAACAAGAAATAAAAATGATTCAATAATAGTAGTAGTAAACAAATTAAGTAAAAAAACTTATTTTATATTTACTTGAAGCTTTGCAATAGTAATAGAAGTCATTCAAATCTTTTTAAAAAAAATTTCTAATACCATAATTTACTCTATTTAATAATTTCTAATAAAGATCTAAATTTTACTAGTAAATTTTAAAAAAGCCTTTTTAAATTAATGAAAACAGAGTTAAAATATTGATATTATTATACTCACAAACTGATAGACAAACAGAATATACAAACTGAATTCTTAAAGAAGTTCTATATACTTATATGAATTATAAACAAGCCAACTGAGAAGATATCCTACTTGCTACAGAATTTTTTTACAATAATTTATTACAAGGATTTACAAGTTATATACTATTCTAGTTAGATAATAGATATTACTTAAGAATACTATTAAATCTAATAAATAAAAAGTGAACCTAATAAATACCAAAGATATATAAGAATTGCTCAAACATTAGACTAAGATATGAATATAGCAAAAGATTTGTTAATAAATACTCAAGAGAAACAAAACAATTAAGCTAATAAAAAGTAACATTATCTAAAACTAAAGAAAGAAAAATTAGTATTACTAGACTCAATGAATATAATTCTTTAAAAAAGTACAAAAAAACAATCAAAGAAACTCATTTCAAAATATATAGAACTCTTCAAAATCATCCAGAAAATTTCAATAGTAGCTTATTGATTAGAACTTTTAGAAAATCTATATATTTATATAGTTTTCTATATATTATTATTAAAACCTTACTATTCTAATAAACTTGATGATACAAGAAAAGTAACTTCAACAATTATAATTAAAGACCAAGAAGAATAAGAAATTAAAGCAATACTAGACAAAAGAACATATTACTGATGCCTATAATACTTAGTAAAATAGAAAGGATAACTACTATATGATACTATTTAGAAACTTCTAGATAAGTTTAATAATTACAAGAATATAGTAAAAGAATTCAAGAAAAATAGTAAAACTGTTTTAAATGAGAGTGAGTATAAGGGAACTACTAAACTACATTATACAATACATATGTTGTATAATGAATATACTAGAAGTTTATATGCAATAATTGTATTAGAGATTAATAAAGAAATATATATTATATGAATATAATATAAGATTAGAATCATGTTAGCATTAGTTATTAGAAGTTATAATGACTATACATTCAAAGTGTAGTTATAGTTAAGCAATTGTATTATAAATATAATATAAATATATAAAAGAAAAGAAAGCTAATTAGACTTTTACTTGTAATTTTTAATAAAGAAATAAACTACAGTTTTTTAATTTTATATACAAATTCTTTTTAATAATATAAAATAAATATAAACTCTTGTTTTTCACCTTAATAAAGTTTATATGGACTTCAATATATCAGATATAAAAAATATAAAGTTTAGATCCTTTATTATAATAATAATTTACTTTTCTTTAATTTCCAACTATCATTAATTTTTGAGTCTCACTTGACTAAATAGATGCTATTATAGCTAATCTAAGTTATAGCTAAAGCTAAACTATGCATATAATATGTATTGCTTTCCTAACCAGTTGTAATACTACTCTTAATAGATATAGTTACATATATAAGCAGATTTAAAAAATTCAAATATGTTATCTGAATTTGAATATAATATTTGTAATATCTAAAAATAAACTAACTAATAAAATTATATAAACAAAGTTATAAAGATCTATATAATCAATTAAAAAATTTAATTTATAAGTAAATAATATTATTAATATTTACAAGGCAATATATTACTACTACAAACTTTGATTTATACATATTAATTAAACAATATTACTCATCACTTATATTTATTTATTACTTAAACTATATTATAGCTATCTATCTAATAAATTCTATAATACAAGATATCAAAATCATATACAAATGTATCTAGATTTTTTAAAAATAAATTATTTTTGCAATTTTATATTGCAAACTTTCAATATAATCATTAGTAAAAGCTTTGCTTATTATAGAATTTTAAAACTATCTTAAAAACTAAGGTCTTACTAAATATAAATATAAATTTTTAAACTGTTACTATAAAATAAAGTAAAAGCTTCATAATAAGTAAATAGCACTTTAACTATTATTCTAATAAGCAAACCTTTGATATTATTTTTATTAAAGTTTTGTCTATTTCAGGATCTTACAAAACCACTTCAGAAACTTTGAATCTAAAGTCTTGTTAAGCATAAATACAAATTTTTAAACTATTATTTATAAATAAAAAAAAGTAAAAACTTTGTAAAAGTAAATAGTACTTTAACTATTATATTAATAAACAAAACTTTAATATTGTTACTAGTAAATGTTTTGTTTATTTGAGATCTTAAACTATCTAAATTTTCACTACTAGCAGATCTCATATACTATTCAAATACTTTCTTTTTATCTTTAGCAATGCTTATACTATTTCAGTAATAATTTCTAAAATTTAATTATCTGTTTGAATTTCTACTACTAGCAGATTTAAAATATCATTTAAATACTTTTTTTTCATCTTTAAAGATACTTGTACTATTTTAGTACTAATTTCTAATGCTTAATTAACCATCTGAATTTTTATAATTAGCAGATTTTATATAGCATTTGAATACTTTGTTTTCATTTTTAGGAATGCTGATGCTATTCTGATAGCACTTTCTAATATTTAATTGTCTATTAGAATTTTTACCTCTAGCAGATTCTAAGTACTATTCAAATACTCTCTTTTTATCTTTATGAATGCCTATGCTAATTTGGTAATAATTACTAATATTGAGTTGTTTTTTGAATTTACTTTTTCAATATACTTTTCATAAGAATTATAAGCAATACTTGATTAATATTTTTATCTTTTTATATCTATCAAATACTACTAGATCTGTATAATGTTTGTAATATAGTTGGTCATCTATTTTAAGTTCTACTTTTAACTCTAAAACAGCTTGACTTTCATAGCTTTAGGCAAAAACTTTGACATTAGTTTGTAAAACTTTTCTTTAAAATTGTCCTTACTATATTGTATATGGTTTTGTATTTGTATATAGTGAACTATTTGACATAATAACTAGTAAAAATTATGTACAGTCAGAATTCTGAAAAACTGTTTTGAGATCTCTAATTTTAGGATCTCTGATTTTAAGATATTGTTAAATGTAAATTTAAACTTTTTAAGCTATAATATTAAAGAATAAAACCTAGCAAAATAGAAATTAGTTTTTATTAGTTGTTTGTTTTTTATTGAAAATACTGTTATACAAATTTTTATATTGTTTTACAATAGAAATTTTAATTTGAATTAGAGAAGTTAAAATTTTTTATAATTAAGATCATCTAAAATTTTATAAGATTGTTTTTTAAAAGCAAAACTTTCATATAAATATTTGAGATCAAGTATTCTATTAACTTTTACTAGAAGTAATTCTAATAATACTAATATATAATACAAAAGTATTATATTAAATTTTTGATATTTTAAAATGAAATAGCTAATAAAAATCTATAGCTTTTTCACTTAAAAGTTTTAAACTTTATGTGAGCAAGCTATAAAATGTTAAATATTATTAATCAATTAATTGGTTTTACAAAAAACTATAAAGAGTATTACTAAAATAATGTGAAGATAATTTTTAGCTTTAACCAATTAAAATTTGTTATTTATAAATTTTCAATCATTTTTTTAACCAATTAAACCTAATTTTTATTTTGCTATAAAACTTAGACTTCATATAACACTCTTACTATTGTAACTATTATTCTAAATAAAAAAACTAATTAACATAAAATTAATATAATACAAATTTGCAATTATTATAATGTTTATTATCTGATTAGTAGATCCTATTCATAAACATCACCAAAATTCCAAAATCTGCTTATATGCAAAGTAAATTATTGTGATTTATTTATTCTAGTTAGCTTCAGACTTCTAAGATAAGCTAAGTTAATCTTTGATATATAAATTGCATATGTATATATATAACTTGTATCAATATTAGATATATTTTAATTTTTCATATGTTAAATTTTTTTTGTATTAAGATATTAGTTCAAGCTATACTGCATATATTTTTTTATATTTAAACTATGATTTTATACCTTGTTTTTTTTTATAATCTGTTAACTTCTTGTATAATAATGTTATCAAAAAAAATTTTAAATGAAGTTCAATATTCTAGCTACTATAAAAGGCTATATACACAGTAGAAGATAAATATATAGAATAATTTTTATTTTATAAATTATTCTAATAAGCTAAAAGTATTATCATATTATAATTTAAATAAAGAATTGAAAGTATTGGTAGAGCTATTAGAGTCTAAAACAAAAGAAAAGAAGAAAACATTAGTACTAAAGTGTCAACTAAAGGTTTTTATTTTTATATATTCTTTAAAATATGAAAATATTAGCAGAGTAGTTAGTGTACTATACTCTATATTTTCATATACAAAAAAGAAGAGTATTCAGATATAAAGCTTTTGTGATATATATATCTTACTATTAGATTCTTTGGTTAAAGTTTGCTGATTCTAAAGAAAGAATTAGCTATATAGTATTGTACTCATATATTTTTCTACTACAGAAATCTGGAAAGAAAGATGAAAAGG